ATACCTTCTTGCATCAAAAATCAAATATCTCTCAATTGTATCATTAGATTAATACAAAATTTTATGCATACTAAGTATACTTCATGAATTAAGTTTTATCAAATTTTTAACTATAGATGTGATACCAATTACACAAACTAGCCAAGGATGTTATCTCTAATTGTATTGTATAAATCGAAAGACACCAATACAAATCATGACTTTAAATAAAAATTATAAAGTCATCCAAAATCCTATGAAAACAATTCTTATGTTTTTAAAACAAGCATGAAGCTAGCTCTCCAATTTCTATCACCAATCTCCAAATGTCTTCATACTTTGCCTTAGGCGGCTGTTTTAATGGTTGAAGATCTCATTTCGACCTTGTCTTATAAATGGTCAACCCCTAAGTATCAATCCAATCTATTGTAGAGATTGTTTAGCCCATTTCTATCTTTAATTTAATTCTAGTATCAATTATATTAATTATTTACCTCTTCTATCCTATTTTTATCAAATTATGGCCTTTCTAAAGCAATAAAAGAATTTCTATAGCTTAGAAGGTAATATTACTAACCAACCTTTAATCTACTAGCTATTAAGATAAGAAAATAAACTAAGAGGCTTTCATAAAAGCCATGTTTAAATATCTTGAATTATTTTTGGACTAAGATGATTAGATATTAATTAGAAATTTATTTTTGATTATATTTTTACTATATAGTTGTATTATAATATAACAACTTATTTTTACCTCCATCTTTAGTAGCATTCATTTTTCTATGCCTCATTTGGTCATATTATTCATGTTCTCTACATAGAAAAAAAAAAAGAAAAAAAAATAATATAGTAGACTAATAAGTATGCATGATATCATTCATGAATTTATTGCAAAGCACTTCTTCTCTATTGGCCAATTATATCTCTCATCTCTTTTGCCTTTGTTCCATTGTCAAGCACAACAAGAACAACCTCATTAGAAGTTGGAAGATTATAACATCTTATATTGGCCTCTTTAATAAAGTAAAGATGTACATATATATCATTATAACTTTCTTTTCTTTTCTTTGCTTCAAAGAATATTTAATGAACTTGTATTTAAAGTGGAAAAATATGTGATGTTCTTCTAAACATTCTTTAAACTCTCACATTCATTATATTAATAAATTGGTATTATGTGCCATCCTTGCTTTATATGCAATATTGAAATTATAAATGTAAGTATGTATATAACTTGTTTCTATACCTTATTCTAATAAAAAAAATATTAATTTGATACCAAAACTTTTCAAATATGTGAAAGCTATATGAACCATATCTTTACAAGAAAATATTTTTGACTTTTGTACAAAGAGATGTAAATGTATGTGCTACATTATATTGTCAAATAGTCTTTCAAAATTCCTTGCTTTGTTCATCTTGTCCATCAAGTATCTCTCAAACTAATGATGGAAGATCTTCAAAAAAAAAAAAGCTTAACATTTCCATGAAAATAACTTGTACTAAATTATAGATGTAATTTTATCGATGGCATGGTTTATTTATCCATCTAATAAGATATTTTCTAATGTGGGTATTGAAAATTCATATTTTCAACATTATTACAATCTTCTATTATATATATATATATATATATATATATATATATATTATTATTATCATGATATTCAAGAAGAAGTTGCTCTATTAGTTTATCAATTTCTCTTGCTTTTCTATGTTCTTTTGTTTCTTCTTTCTACTATGAATGTAGTATTGCTTCTTCTTATGTCTTTTGTCTTTACTGTCTATTCTCTTAATGATTCATAATCTAAGAAATGTCTCCAACACCATCATTTCTATTAACTGTAGTACCATATCCTTCCACTTCATGTTCATTTTTTTTTTATGTTTGTTCTTTAGTATGTTCAAGTGCCTTTTGTTGTAGTTATCCAATTACATGACAATTGCATATATATACAATATTTTTCAAATCATTTCTTTGTCTATTTAGGACATTTGATTCTCTTCTTGTTTGTTCTTCATCTACTTCCACAAGTTACTCCGCATATTCACATATTCTTTGTTTTTGTTGTCTAATAGTTAAATGATTGACAATTAATATGTTAGTTAATAAAAAAGCAAAAAACTCATATTTATTAATTATTGGATACTATCTTTTAATAATAACAATAGTAAATAATAAGTAGATTTTACTTGATGTCTAGGTTGTGTGTAATATCCACATTGTTGTAGTTATTTTTTGAAACTCATGCAATAATAATTACATAAATTTTACACCTAAATTTCTCTTTCCAAATGCCTTGCCAAAAATAAGGGAAGCTAAAAATTCAAAGAAATATAGGTAAAAGTATATAAAAAAATCAAAAATATAATTTAATAGTTTGGAGATAAAATTATATAAAAGATCAAAAATTAATAAGTTATTACTTATAGGATAGAAATACTTGAGTGTAAACAAAGTAAGAATAACTTCTACTATCAATAAATTATAATTAAAAAAGTTGCTATTCAAGAAATATGGATTTTCTTTTGAGGAGAGACCATTGGGCTTAAAAATATTCAAGAAGTTATAGTACTTTATCAATTCCATCATTTTTCTAGTTAAAAATTATATCAAATACCAAGGCATGAAGTAAAAAACAAAAATATAAAACATTGCGTCTACAAAGGATTTTATAATACAAGTCAATAAATAATATGACAAACAAAAAAAATTCCTTTGTCAAAAATGATTATATAAACTATTGCAGACATTACTAACAAAATCTCTTGTATTTCCATGAATATCTAAAACGCATACCTAAAAAGATGCAAAATAAAAGGTAAAAATAAAACATTTTAAAAATAATTAGAATTTTAAATTTTAAAATTATTATTAATTCTTTATGATTATTGAATGTTCCTTGCATACCTTTCTTCACATCCAATCATAAGATTACTTTGTCTCTTTGTATTTTACCGAAGTTGTCTTACATAATAAACTCTTCTACTTTAAAAATTAAATATTTTTATTATATTAAAAACATCAGTATCTATTGACATTATTTGTTTGTTTGTTTGTTTGTTTTGAATGGATAGGATTATTGAACATGTATATAGAAAATATGGTTGTATATAATAAAATGAAATAGTTTTTAATCTAATTTAATTTAAAATACATGTATGTATGTATGTATGTATATATATATATGTATGTATGTATGTATGTATATATGCAATTAAATATAAAAAACAAACAAATATTTTAAAAAGGCTACTTTAAACTTAAACTGATCCTGCCTTTGTTTTTTTTTGAGCAATTATTCTTATTAAAAATTTAAAATTCATAGTAGTTTTTGATAGATCCTTAATTTTTATTCATAAAATATTTTTTTTGTACTTTAGATAAATGCTTTAAATTAATGGATGATGTTTAAAAGTACAATTTTAAAATAATTAGAAGTTTGTTCAGATAGATAAAGACAAATTCTTCATGTTTTTTTAGTTTTATAGATTTAAAAAATAGAAATAAGTATCTCAAACTAATCAGTAAATATGGTTTTAGATGTCTTGTAGAATATCAGAAGTTCTAATGAGGATTCTAAAAAAGATTAAAAAGAGTTTTTATAACATACTTTTTTAACTTGTAGAATGTTTTAATAACTTATTTAGAAACTCTTTCAAAACTTAATTAACAATGATTTATTTTAAAAAGTTCTAAAGAAATGTTTGTTTGAAAGGTTTTCTTGGACACCAAACCTTTGTAGGAATCTTTCTTTGGATACTACACCTTATTAGATGCCTTCTTTTATGAAGCCTTCTTTAATACTATTTCTAACATATTATATAAATCTTTTATAATAAGTTTTTGGCCTTGTGACTAACATGAATAAACAATTAAATAAAAAAATTTAAGTAATTATAATTTTATTATAAATTTAAAGTATTTTTTATTTTTAAACTTGTAACCCTTTAAATATTTTAGTATAAGAATATGAATGTGGTAATTTGTTGTAGTAAAATTACTTAGTGTTTCTGTTACTTGGTCTTAATTAAACATAACTATCTAATTTTAAGACTTGATAATTATAATATTATTTTTAAAAATATACATAGAATTTATTATTTAGAAGTTTAATCTTAATAACTTCAACTAAAATCATTTCTGATTATTTTCTCATTTTTAATGAAAAAGCTATTAAAAACTAATTCATAATTTAAAGTAATTACATGCATCATTTTTTCAAATCATTTATTTGATATGTACTTTTTTTTTAAAATTAAATATATTAATTATTCAAAGCATCAAAATATTTTTGTTACACAAAAGAAATTATATTGTGTTAATTACATTATTCAAATACAAGTTTTTGGTGTACAATTCAAACTAACTTTCAGTTCCATCATTTATAGTGTTAACATAATAAATTATCCTACATTAATGTCAAAAACATGCATCCCAGCTTATCATAGAATTTTACAAGCATAGCATACAAGAAATCACATAAAATAACAATTTGTATATTTACTCATAATATCAGCATATGTACTTAAATATATTTTATAAAAAATACCTTGTTTTATACAAAAATGCCACAAATTACAAGACACAAGTCAAGTTCAAAATTTTAAAAAGTTACACTACAAATCATTAACAATGTCATACTATCAATATGGAAGAACCTGAAAAACTTCGTTCTTTTGAAGAAATCTTTTGTCTTTAAAAATTCCAAACAAAAAAGAAAAAAGAAGAAATTATCATCAAAGGAAAAATAAAGCTTGATTGCTATGATTAAGTCAAAACATAAACCACACAACATCGATCCACCAAAAGACGAAGTAAGAGTGGAATGGGTCAAAGAAGCGTTGACGGGCAGCCACGGGCGGCTCCAAAAACGAAGGGTGGTGCGAAAAAAGTCGGCGACCGAAAGACGGAAGCGACGTCGCCTTTCTCCCGCCAGACGGCGTCCGGAGGGGGCTGGGTCAAGGCCACCAGGAGCCCAGCGTCGTGGACGTCAGACAAGTGCCGTCTTGGGGAATTGCGCGGCCGGCGAAGCCTCGATTCTTCATGATTTCCGATTCATGTTGTTTTTTTTTTTTCTTTCTTTCTTTTTTTTTCTTTTTTTTGATGTGTGAGCGAGCCTTGTTCGATTAAGGCAATCTGCATTTCGACTCGTCTGCCGTAGATTGTTCCGGTAGTGTGAGAAATTGGGGTTGGGTTCGTGGTCCGCCACTGCGGATGCTGCAAAAGATGCTTTGTGGAGCTCGATGACGCGTGCGTCGTGAGAGAGTGAGAGGTGGGTGGGTTCGGAGAAGGCAGGTGGGACGAGAGCTGGGGGCGTGGACAGGCGGTGGTGGTGGTGGTTAGTTGATGGCAGGCGGTGAATTAGGGCTGCTGCTGCAAGGAGACAGGGAATTCATTGTGGGTCGTCACTCGGATTGATTCATCAGTACGTGACTTAGGGGCCATTTGCTTGCGCTCCTCCGGCGTTTTTAGGCGAAACGGGGAGCTGGCTGCCAGCTTCGAGCCCGTGACGAACATTGGGCGCTGGAGAGTTGAGTGCGATTGAAGGCACAGGGGACCTGAGTTGCGGTGTGTCGTGGAGTTTTAATCCAGACCGCAGGGGTTTGAAATTGAGGCGTTAGGGTTGCGAGGTTGGCGTTTTGGAAGTGGTGTTGGGTTCCGGACGTGCTAGAAATGCGGAACGGGGAGGTAGTTAGGTTTGTGGAGTAGCGGATTGTGAACAGCAGGGGGGGGGGTGAGAGTGTTCGGTGCTTTAGAGGAACTGATACTGTGTTTTACGGGGGGGAGGATTCTTTTCTTCCCGTTAGGCAGTGATCAGATGACGTCTTTGGGTGGTACATATTGGTGTCACCAGTGCAACCAGACCGTGAGGCCGACGAGCGGGGATGAGTTGATTTGCCCGACTTGTAACGAGGGTTTTTTGGAGGAGATCGACAACGCTGGGGGCGGTGGTGGTGGTGGGAGGAGTGATTTTCAGGGGCCCGGTGGCGTACATCAGATGTTCGGATTTGGAGGTGGCGATGTAGATTTGGGGGAGCGTGCAGATGCGCCAGGCGGGGTGGCGGCCGAGTTCCGGCGGTTCCAGGCGGAGCCCCGAGGGATACGATTTCCTGGGCGGATGAGCGGGCACCCCGCGGTGATACAGGTGCTGGAAGTGATGTCGCACATGCTACAGCAAATCCAGCCCTCTCAGGGCGGGCAGGAGTCCGGTGAAGCGGACACGACTGGTGATGAGTCGCGGGCGAGGGGGCGGGGCGGAGTTGCTGAGGACGGTCCGGGGGAGTTCAATCCGATGTTGATGTTGCAAGGGCAAATGCAGAATTTTCTGGGTGGAGGGGGCAACGTGGAGGTGTTTTTTGACAATGGGACAGGAATTCCTCGAAGGCTGCCTGGTAATTTCGGGGACTACTTTCTCGGACCTGGACTGGATCAGCTGATACAGCAGCTCGCAGAGAACGATCCCAGCAGGCACGGGGCGCCTCCGGCGTCGAAGAGTGCGGTGGAGGCGATGCCAACGATCCAGATATCACAGGAGCATCTGGGGACCGATGCCATGCAGTGTGCTGTGTGCAAAGACGAGTTTGAGCTGGGGGCGTCGGTGCGGCAGATGCCGTGCATGCACATGTACCACGCGGACTGCATACTGCCTTGGCTAGCACAGCACAATTCATGCCCTGTGTGTCGGTATGAGATGCCGACGGACGAACAGGTGTACGACCAGAGCCGGTCAAATTCAACGCCAGCTGCGAGCACGACCGCGAACCCGAATTCTGGTGGCAACGGTGCGGGGGTGGACGGAGGGGGCACGTCAGGGGGTTTCACATTCTGGGGTCCTCCGGCGAGTTTCGGGACATTCCCGAGCGAGCAGACGTCGAGTGGCGGCAGCCGAGATTCAGGATCCAGTGCACCGACGAGTGGGTCTGGGAGCGGGGTTCAGGCAAGTAGTGCTCCAGCACCAGCGCCTACTCCTGGGAGTGGCGGAGGCATCGGGAGACGGATGTCGTTCCACCTGCCGTGGTTCCGGTCGTCAACACACTCGCCAGCCACGGCCCCTGCATCAGGATCGTCCGGAGCGGGTGGAGATGGTGGTGGAGGCGGAAATCAGGGTTCTGGAAGCCGAAGGAATGCGGGAGACGGGCACATGGAGCCACACTCAGAGTTGGATTGAAGTTCACCTGCTCTCTCTGATGTTGAGTTTGTTAGTGAATTTTGCTGTCCCAGTCTCGTTCTTTTGTTTTATTTTTCTTTCCCCCTACCCTCCCCCTCGTATATATACACACACACACACACACTCACTCACACATATATATACATATATATAGATACAAATTTAGTTGAGGTGCTTCTTGTCTGGTCATAGCTGTTTTTAGTCTAAATGGTCTTGTGGTGATTTTCCGCTTATATTCTTTATATCCGCAGGCTGGGTTTTCGGGAGATACTACTGCTAGGTGGTTTGTTACGCCGAAGGCTCGTAGATTGCTGTCAAAGATTGTTTGATGTGTTCCTGGTGAGGGAAGGTTGCAACTTCTGCTTCGGGTGTCGGACGTTCTTTTTTCTTTTTTCTTTTTTCTTCCTCCTCCCTCTTCTTCTTCTTCTTCTATACTCTGAATCACGAAAATGAGAATGAAGTGGCAGCCCAAGTTGGTGTGGCTGTCGTTATGCGGAGGGTGTAGTAACTCTCTGCTCTGCATGTCTTTTTCGTTGTGTGCGGACGCAGACGTGCATTAATGGCGAGCATCGAACTCAGCTTGGTGCTGTTTGTATTTCTTTTCTTCGCGTTTGTATTTGTGCACTTATGGGGACACTTATCGTTTGGTTTCCAACTCAGCCCTTCTACGAGCCTTGAGTTAGTCTTTTTACGCCGCGGAAGGATTCCTGAAATACATTTCGTAGTTTCCTATGGCAGACGCACTCTCGAACCTCTGCTGTGTAAATAGTAGGATTTTTCGTATGAGTTTGCACCTTTACTTCAGGTACTTCCTGAAGCTCAGTGTAATTATTAGTAGCTTGGATAGCTTTGGTAAAGCTTATTCACTTCATTTGACATGCAGTAGCGTATTATGTTTTTTTTCGCATGCATTCATGGGCTTAGTGCAGGTTCGTGTGTGCTATTGCATAGGAAGGCGTTTCGAGGAGGGAAATTTTTGTTTGTTTTGTTTTGTTTTGTTTCGTGTTGTTTTTTTATTTTAGTGATTTAATGATCAGAGTGGGATTGGTAATATGAATATATTTTGTTTTATTGGACTGTTCTCCCTTAAATAAGAAGTATTGTTACAGGAATTGGAGTTAATTTTTGGTGAGAAATGTTCAAAGCTCATCTTGATGGGTTGTGCTCGAATAACGTGTAGGAGAGACATAATGGGGCTCATCGACGTTAGTTGGTGCAATTGTCAGAAGTTTACTCTTGGACACAACTGGAAGTCACTGATTGTCGACCTGATGTTAGCTTTTAATCATTAGTGCCGTTCATCACTGAACATAATTTGCGCAGTCTCTATTAAGTCTTCTTTGACATATTGCATTGTGCGTCTTTTGCAACCAACTGGAGCATGGAATCTTTTGTTCGGGTTGATTTAAGCTCCTGGTAAGTTTGGACATGCTTTTATTGGCGTATCTTTAGGATGAATCTTCCTCTGTCGACTGTTCTGGAGTTGTGTGGTTCTTTGTTTGGTGTATGATACATGTGCCATGCTTTATGATTTAAGGCATGGTGTTGAGCTATGGAATTGAAACCATTCTGGTCTATGGATATTAAGATCTCATACTCTAAACGTCTCTAATTTTGGTTTTTTAATTTTTTAAATCTAATAGTTTATCATTATGGAACAAACCAATAAACCCTCCGAATATGCAGTAAGTGAACAGATGTTGGTAGAATATGCTGAATGCGGAGTTGAGATTCCTCCAGTGCCTTGTCGAGGGTCCCCTGTGCTGTGCATTTTGTTTCCAAAGTTCTGATTTTGTGTCTGATTCCCCCAAGCCCAGATAAAGTCACTGTGAGGGACTGCGTATGACGAAATGCACCTTCCTCTACCGACCATTCTGCTCAAGGTGGCTCTAATTTATTTCTTCCTACTCCAATTGTACTTGCTCTCTGCTTGTTTAATAATAGTAGCCAATTTCTTCTTTATGCTTACGGTTGTAGTTCACGTTAACAATGCTGACTGTAGGTGTATATAGGAAATTGTTCTTGGAGATCTCATGGGGATTACTTGGAATAGTACAAGCTCTAAAGTGTCAAAATAACTTCCCGAAAGATGGTATAATATTGACTTTAAAGACAAATGTGGCATGATTTCTTGAAGTCTTTCAAATCTATAGAGACATGGTTTTTAATTTATTTTGAATAACTTTCAAGTGCACATTCATATTTGTGCAACTTATAATTGACCACAGAGTGGTCATGCAAATATAAAAAAATTGATCCAAGAAAATCTAAGATATTTATACTTTGTATACATTGATTTAAAAGAAAATAAAACTTATATATCTCTCTTTGGTATTTTAAAATCTAAAAAATATTACTAAAAAATAAATATATGCTAAGATATTTTAAAAGTTGATTATAACTATTTTATTTTTTAAAAAATATTAATAGTAAGAATAGTTTAGATTATTCAAAACAAAAGAAATATACTTTATATATGTCTTAGATTATACAAAAGTTTACGTGTATTACAATTAAATTCTTTGATTCATCACATCACTTCAAAATCTTTCAATTAGTAAAGACAATATTATACAACAAAATTTGATTTATATTTGATTTTCTATATTAATTCTTAAAGATATATAATATGTCTTTGAATATCATTTTATAATCTCTAAGTTGATTCAAACAACATTCTATAAATATTATAGACTTTTATGTTTTGCATATAAATGGAACTAAAGTAAAATAAATTTGATTGATTACATATTCTATATGAAATATTGTGGAAGATTCTTTGGATTCAATTTAGATATACAAGGGTCTTTCTATATATCTTATATCAATACAATGTTTTTTGATTTTTTTTATTAAAGTCTTTAAAGTTACTCTTGAATCATTCCATAACTTTGACATTTATTCTTCAAAACTTTTTGTATTCAAGAAGCTTTCACGTGGTCTTTTTATTAATTAGTATATCTAGGAGTAAAATAAATGTCAACCTCTGTTTTATTAATGTATTTTTTTAATATTATAGTCTTTAATAATATAATGATATAAAAATACCAATACAATATTAAATAAAGGAATCTTATAGCTCAATCAAAAATTTAAAAATACCTATGAAAAAAATGAGCTCAAAGTACCTCATTGTTTGTGCTTCTAGAACTTTATAAAACATTGATGCATGGTATTAGAGCCAGAGGTGCAATCAATGGCATTAATATTAATTAAGTAAGATCTACAAAAAAAAAATCGTATAAGAAAGGATTCTATTACAATTGTGCTTTGATTGCTTTTGACCTAATTCTAAGTTTACTTGCACCTCCTTTGTATTATTTATTTGACTAGTGTATTTTTGCATTAAATTCTTTAATTTTCTATTTGCAACCCACATGATCTAATTATGTTAGCTAGATAACGTAGAATTTTGGTATTAAAATTGTTTGATAAACAAAACTATGGACCTTGAGGAATATGATTTGTAGATGGATTTTGTAGCAAGGACAAATATTTTGATGTATTCCATAAGTTGAAAATAGATATAAACATAAGCAATCAACTCTCCTCATTTATTCTTATTATACTTACATTGCACCATTAACAATGCATCCAACATAATTTTCAAATATTACAATTGTATAGCAATGATAAAAGAATGCGCATAATTATAACTAAATCAACTAGTATAAAATGCTATACAACATCTTTCTTGGCATCAACAACCATAGGAAAAAATATCCTAGTTGTTAGCTTTTTTGTCTACAATGGTAAGTGCAAGACATTTATTTTGGTTTTTTAATGCTTCTTTAAAGCCAAAACACTTGTATCAATGGATATGCTCACAAATTAAGACCAATAGATGGAAGATGATATATAAGTGGCATATTTTAATACTAAGCTCAGATTTTGATGTGATAAATTATTCAAAAAATTTCATTCTGATTTAGTTCTACCATTGGTTCCAACATTAATGAATTTCTTATACAATTCGACATCATTGTGTACAAAAAAAAATCCATTTTTATTTAAAGATACTTAAAATATTATTGTATCTTAATTTGATATAGAGACTAATCAAAGGATTATTAATTTCTTTACTTTCAAGGCCTTCTATTATTGTGTGTATTTAAGAAATATATTTTTTGTAGATTTGAGAAGTACTCAATGCTTAAAAAATATCTATAACTTCTTTAACAAAATTTTAGATACAAGCACAATATTTACCTAGTTTGTTACTAAGTTCAAAGAAGCCTTAGAGTCTTGTAGTTGGAAAGAGATCTAGCATCAAATGTAGCAAGAGTACTTCAATGTGAGTCTACAAATACATTTTTTTTCTTAAAAATGAGGTAATATTACAACTTATATTGTATGGCTTTAAAAAAATGCACGAACAAATTCAATTAAGCTATGAATACATATAAACAAGTTTGTAATAGATATGGCTTCAATAATAGTTTATTCATGATAATCAAAGATATGTATTCTAATATTACTCTTATTATATGAAGATCCAACAAGTGAACTATTATTTATTAGACTACAATATTTCATGCAACTATTGTATATTTTTATATAATTGAGATACTTTGTAAATATGCATATAATGTATTATCTTTGAAGGATGTCATAATGCCGCTTTTTCAATATTTTCTTGATTTTTGGCAAATTCATGAAAAGAAAATTATGCTATTCAACCTACTTTCTTGTAATCTACTAAGAAGTAACTTAATATGGACAAGTTTAACTTAAGAACCTTGCTAAGATCATATTTGGTATGTAAACTTACTATACTATAGTTGTAAACTTGTTTGCTAAGATTTTGAACATATAAATGTCTATTATAGAGATTAACTTAAGATAGTTCTATTAAAAAATTAAAAGTCTTAAAGAATTATAATCATAAGATCAATTGCTTTAATTTGGAGAAAAACAACCTTCTACAAATCTAAAAAATACTAATTGACAAGAAAATATGACTTATAAGAGTCTAAAAGAAGTTAAATATGGTATTGGATCAACTCATGTATTAAGCACCATTCAATAATAAAGAAGATTGATTATATACTTACTTCCAATAATATCTATGAAAATATATTTCTACAACATTAAAAATATATATTGACAAAGGTGGAATAAAATAAGAAGTATTTAGATGGAATTAAGGCATTGTTATGTGATAGATAACAAGGTTGGTTATATGAAGTATAACTCACGTATGATCCATTCTTTTTAAAATATTTTTTATTAATATCCATATCAAGTTTAAATTAGATGGATGAAAAAAATACTATTGATTAAGTTGGAGATAAAAAAAAATAATGAGATCCAACTACAATTTCCATTAGATCTAAAGAGTCTTAAAGTATTTAATAATAGAATGTTCCAAAATTTAAGAACAATCAACATTTAAAGGATTATAAATTAAAAGTTTGATAAATAAGGTAGAGTAGTAAAAGAGAAGTTAAAAGATAGTTGAAAAAAATATTCAAAGCAACCAAAGTCTAAAGTATAAAGAGACAATTGGCACAAATGAAGTTGAAAAAGATCAATCATCTCAACCAATAAGACAATGTTGAAAAGATGGAGTTGCAAAAAGATTTAATTGCACTCTAGCATAGATACTTATACAATTTGATGTGGTGGTTCAAAGATGAAGTAATAGCATGGGAACTAGTAGTTGTAGTTGGCATTGACAATACAATTTCAGAGAATCTAAATGAGTGAGATTTTTGATTTATTATGAAAACCTACTACTTAAAGAATGAAAGGAACAACTAGCTCTTTTAATGAAATATGATAATCTTAAAGATAATAGCCATACATGCATCCAATTTATATGATACTAAAAAGATATATCAATTCAATGGTGTATGACTCGTAAGATACAAAAAAAACATTTAAATTCTTTTTAGTGATCTTTAACTCCAATTATTCTAAGAAGATCAATCAGACATTAACAATCATATTAGCTAAGTTAATTATTGGATTTTGTACCTCAAACTAGGCTAAATTATTTTAAAATGTCATGCATTATCTACAATTAAAACATGTAATAAATAGATTTTTTTGTTGTCATTTTTATTTTTATTTTTATTTTTTTAATATCATTTATATCAAGTTAAATGATTATTTATTTTCTAAAAAGATAGGATGAATGAATTTGATAGAAGATAATGTGGCAATTCTAAAAAATAGAGCTATCAAAAGAAAAAGATGACATATTTGAAGTAAATAAAGAAGATAGTGGGATTTTAAAATGATAAGATCATCATTTCAAAAGATTGTATTTTTTTCATTGTTATAGTATTAAAAGCATTGGAGGTCTTTAAGCAAGTGATGGCATTAATAGAACAAGTGAAGGAGCTCAAAGAGAAATTATTACAATTTAGAAAAGAAGCATAATTGGCCAATCTATAATTCATTATAAAGACATCTTAAATCAAGGAATTAAGAGAATTTTGATTAATAGATCTGAAGTCAATGGCTACAGTCTAATATTAGAATAAAATAATTAAAAAATAGAAATCAAATTAAATGATTAAATGATTAAGACAACAACCAATTTTATATTAAGGTGGTCAAAATACAAAAGATCATGCATAGAATTGGCTAAAAGAGTAGTACAAGCTAGTTGCATGGCTTAGAAACAACAATAATACAAGACTAAAAAGATCCAAAAGACTTTATTTAAAAGTATTCAAAAGTTATTATTATTTTATTAAAAAATAATTATTTTAATATAGAAGTAAGTACAAATAATAAATTAGGGACCAAAAATAAAACCAAGGCAATAATTTCTATCCCATACAATAATGAAAATATCTTTTTTTTTGAAATTGTATCAATTTCTAATAACTGACTACATTGCATATCAAAAATACAAGATCTTATCACCATAAAACCTACTACTATTGATTTGAAAGGTCATGGAGTTACCAAATCCATTGATGAAGAACTTGTTGAGAAAGTACATATAGAAGAAAAAGACAAGTCATTTGAGCAATAAAGATTTAGCATAAGAGTAAATAAAAGAGCCAAATGGCCTAACACTCTATTGCTGGATTAGGTTAAAATTAGTGTTGATCAAAATTAAGAACTTTCATCCTTAATAATCTAATTGGCATAACTTAGATAAGACTATAGATATTAGAAAAAGAGGCCAAGAAATACTTCTTAAGATAGAATCACTTTAAGTTAAATATGAAAGAATAATCTTTTAAAAAGAGATATAATACTATATTTTACATTCTGTCAAATCAAAATTATATTTGGACTTCTTTATTAACTTTTGATGTCATTAAAGTAATACCTTGTATATGCTTAAGAGATAGAACTTATGTCCACTCTATCAAATTGCTTAGCATGATAAAACTATTTTGTGAGTATTATTAAGCAAGATACTAGCATAGATATAACCGTATATAAGGTGAAGATAGAATTCTTGGTAGTCTTGACAATGTAGAGTACTTTTAAAGCTAACTAAATTTAACATCTTGCAATTGGATAGAGTTCTTGAAGTAGAACAATTATTTAGTCTAAATTGCACAAAACCAAGAAGAAGCTTGAAACTTAACTTGTATTAATAATCATTTGATTAGATGGCAATGTTTGGTATTTGACAAGCAAAATATTATAAAGTGAAGCTAGGAGTACCATTTGTAAGATTTGGGTTGTTTGAAATTTAATAAGAGTATCTTGAAACTATTTTAGATAGAGTAAGAAGAGTTGGTAGGATTAGACAAAATGCCATAATACCATCTTTATTTTTGAAGGACTATTAGCAAGAAAAGTAACACTATTTAAGTCTTTTAGAATAGAAAAAATTATTATTTGGTCTCTTTAATCAATCCAAATGCCACAACTTTTGAAAGGCTATTATTAGATATAAAAATATCTTAGATTTATATCTCATACTTATCTCAATTAAACTTCAAAAATTATCAATTAGAATACTATTATTGTTGTAGTACCAAGACTAGATCCAAATGCTTTATTCAACTTGTTAGTATAGAATGGAGTTAGAATATCTCTCTTCCTCCAAAGTTGTGAAGGCAATTTGGAATTTTTTCTATTTTATTATAGAATCCAAAAAAAAAAAAAATTCAAAATAAGAAAAGATTATGAGACACAAAAAGAAATAAGGTTTGGAAAGTAGATTGTTTGCCACTACAACTGAAGGCCAATATAAGGTGGATTAGAATTTTTTGAGTTTAGTCCTTCAAAAATTAATTAATTAATTCATCAAATGTTTGATTATTTGTGTTTGGATCAACAAATAATGAAGATTTTGGACATTGGATGAAATGCTTATGAGATAGAATTAGAAAGGAGTAATAACCCAAAGGACAATTTCTTAATGCTAGATTGTCCATGGATGTATGTTTAAAGGAACTACAAAATGAAAAAGAAAATTGATGAAGAAGGGAAAAGAACTCTTTTTTCCAATTATAGAGTTTTGTTCATAGATCATAAATGGAAAGAACACTATATCATTCCTAGGTATTTTAGCACCTTGCTGTGGCATTCAATAAGTTTTAAAATAGAATTAATTATAATCTATAGCTAAAAGCATCACAAAAAAGAAATAAAAATAAAATAAAAAAATACTAGAAGATATAATATTTAAAAAAAAATGTAATTGAATGAAAGATTTACATATAAAATATCAATAGAAGATACAACCTACAAGACAATAAAGAAGCAATTTATTCACCAAACTAAATAATGACACCATTAGAAAAGTAAAAACATACTACAAAATATGAAAACCTTTGTTGCTAGCACCTTCATTCTTATATACTTTAAAATTTCACATTTGAACTTCTTGTTTAATACATCACCTAGATTTTTGATCAATTTTCTCCTTCTCCATCAAACATCTCCAATAGTTTTACATAAAAAATTATAAAAAAATCAATAATGTTCATCCACTTCAGCCATGTGGCATGTAACCCGAAAGGGAACTGATTGGGGGAGTTGCTTTTCACACTGATTCACATGAAAAAGCTTCAGCATGAATGCCCACTAAGATGCCTCCAATCATGCCATGAAGCCCTCATTCAATGCATTGGCTGCACTGTTCCTCCTTTGCATTGTTGTTGCATTCAGATCCTGCTGATGGTATGTTTTCCACACAGTTTCTTAATCAGGTTTGCTGCATGTGCTCTTTCCTTGTTTCTGTGCCGGTCTACTGGCGAGTGTCACAGGTTGCAAATCCCACGCCGCTCAATCAGCATAACACTGTCTCCGCAAATCTGCCATTACATGGAGAGTTCTTTAGGGTTTGCCTCGTTTTTGCAGCTTTGCAACATCAACTAACATTTCATGGAATTAGCCTGTCGCCGTTGAAATTTCTACATGCCTGAAGTGGTGCAACGTGAATGCTATAGTTTTCGTACAGCTAGCTGCCGGTAGTACTGTGATGACGAGTGATGATGTTCAAGTGGGTCCGAGGTTGAGGTGATTTATAGCCTGCGTTGAGATGATTTGAGGACTGGGTTGTGTCTATGCTCTTGAGTAAGGTGGAAGCTGGAGTTGGGTGTTAGGGTACAAAATTGCATAGATCGATTCTAAATTCTTCCACTTCCATGGATTGATCATCTTGACACACTCGTTTGGTTTTGCTTCGGTCCTGGCATCAAGACCTCAGCTGGCTAAGTCTCTTTCCTGGGATAAGTTGTGTGCGTTTGCTGATGCAGTGTGATTGAAGAATCCCGAACCAGCAAGACCTACGCTTTATCCATACACTGATCAAGATGGGTTCCCCCAAAAAAATTGTGATCGGTATCAGCGTTGTGTCCTATCTCATTGCTTTTGGTCACGCTCTTGGAGCAATGACAAGACGGAGCCGGGTTGGTACCTCTTCCCCCTTAGACGGCTTTCTCCACATCTAACAAATCTCAACACTGTCCTGCATTTAACACAATCGCCCTAAGGGATTCAATGTCTCGTGTTAGTTCCTGCAACTTATCACTCCGAGCACTACTGCTTGAGTCTAAAATTTCCTGCAATCGTCTTTCCCTTTTTCACCGATGTCTTAGGTTGTCAGTGCTTCGATTTCCGTTACCTGAAACTATCCTTGATTGCGGGTTGATCTGCTCGCAGGGAGATCTCGTAGTAGTAGATGAGGATTCGGGAACCTTGCGGTGCCAGTACACCACAGACATTTCAACTAGACTCGCTGCTACCGCTTTTTCTTTTCTTGTGCTCGGCCAGACGTTGATCATGATTGACACACGGTGCCTGTGCTGCGGGGGTGGCTACAAGCCTGGTGGCGCCCGCACTGTGGGTATCATAGTGCTACTCTTATCATGGTGAACTATTACTACAACCTCTCCCAGCTCGATTTGTTCAATTATCTCGCTTTAAATGATACATGATGAAGCATTGAGTTCATTGTTTGCTAAAACAGGTAGTGTCGAAAGTGGAGAATGGAAGAATCAACCAGTTCCTTGATTGACGTGAACCTTTGCTCTTTGCGCAGGATCTGTTTCATAATTGCGTCAGCAGCTCTGTTTGTAGGTGCAGGCCAGAACAAGATCCGAACCAAAGGATTGCTGTATCGAAGCGATAGAAACGTGTCCTGCAAGGAAGTGCGAAGGAGTTTATTTGCAGCGGCAGCTGCTTTCACTTTCATCACAATGTTAATGACAGAGATTTACTATATCCTCATCTCAAGAGCTCGAGAGCAAGACGTAGCCTGGCAGTCGTATGGCCCATCGGTAGGCATGTCTGCGTACACATGAAATTTTTCTTGTAGAGCTCCACAATAATTAGGCCGCGGATCCTTTAGAAAATTTATTATTTTTCCTCCATTTCAATAGCTTCTAGAGAAGCAAGAATTTGTAGTTGAACTGTGGACAAACGGAAGTACCCTAGCTCGTTTCCAGCGCTGCAGTAAATGAAAGTGTACCTCATGCATTCATGAAGCAACTGAATTTCAATCTAAACACTTTTCTATTTCAAGGCTAGACTGCTGCTGTCCCTGTCGCTTGAGTTTTGTGCATCCTCGCATTGGACTTGCACCCTGATTGGATTCGGGTCGTCTCACAAATTATACTGGTCCACGGTGCACCTGTCAACTGAAGAGAATTGCATGATCCAGCTCTTTAAGACCCAAACGATGCGTCCGTTGAAGTAGCTCGGGCATCGCATAGAAGGCGTGTGTCGTTTGGTTGTAATCGTTGTATATTTCTGAATTCCTGCCCTAGCCTGTTGTGACTCGCACAGTGCGGGAGTGCTCGCACCAGTGTGCAGTTTGGCCTCGCGAAGGATCAACTGGTCTGGAGCTTGGAGTGTAGGTGCTGGACGAATTATCCACTACGCTCGTATCCAACGGTGAAATTTTCTAGATTGTATCGCTGCGATCGAATTACAGGTATTCCTTCTCAAGCAATCTCTTTCTGGTAAGCTCTTGACCCTGATCTCAATCCTTCACCCTATCCTGTGAGGATGTCGCAACGCGAGGATGAGCTCCACCCTTTGTCGGAAAAGCTGTTCAATTCTAGGGATCCAGTGTACAAAGACCCGTCAAAGCCCAGGACGGCCGATTTCTACGACTCCGAGGTCGCAATTGATTGGTCAAAGTGCGATAGGCCGCAACCGGATGATACCGAAACTTTTGCGAATAATCCGCAGTGGATCAGAGACCACGATCGCCGAGACTACCGGAATCGCCGAATCCAACAGATTCTTCAAGACGTCTGCGTTAGAAACAGGGACGAACCATTTGATGTTTTTATAGAAAGGGCGTACTGTCAGGCTCAAGCGACGCTCAGTGCGCATGGCAAAGGGGAGCATGGCAATGACTATCCAACACTCTTAGACCGCTGGGTGTACCGCTTCGTGCTAGGCTTTAAGTTCATCTCTAGACTGAGTGGGAAGAAATGGGACCCCGCGGACGAGAAGATGTTGACGAAATTAATCCGGGAGGAGTGCGAGATTCTCTCGAAGAAGGATGAGATGTTTTCCGATCCACACGAGGTGTGCAGGAAAGTGAAACGAGCGTGGGAGCCTGTCCAGGAGGACTTGTACGTGGGAGCCAGTACCAAGTCAGGTTTTAGGAATTACGCTCAGAGATCTTAGAATGCTGTGCACGGAGGCAGCTAAATGGAGCTGGCGGATAAGAGAATCGATGTGTCTTCTATAATTTTTTCCTACACCTGCTCCATTGTTGATGCTGCCTCAAATTCCCCTTGCTTATTTAGGATTCGCATGGGCTGGTTAACTTGTTGACTGTGCCAGAAGTTACGTAGTTGCATGCAGGCTCTTAACATGGAGAAGGGGGCTGTTCATTAGGCGCCGCTAGGAATTGCTTGTTTTCTTCAGCAGGCAATGAGGACGGAATGCAGTGCAGCCAGTGGAGAAGGAATCACAGCGTTTCTCGAGACAGATTTTGATGCAGAGCAATTTTTTTCTTCTCGTGATGCAGGCATGGTTCAAGAAAATGGCTGGAAGTAGAGATGAACGAATAGTTGCGAGATGTGACCCACTCCTTTGTAACACCAGAGTTTGCTCTGCCAAACAATTGGAGATGTGGACTGCAAAGGCAATTGCCGCTTCGAACAACACGAGTCCGAAGTTAAGCAAGCGCTGGAGTTGATTGAGACAGCTGTGTTCCAGTATTCCTGGAGCTGAACCAGTTTGCCTTCCTTGACTGTCCATATGTGCACCCACGCAACCTCTTGGCAAACACTTTCGCCCCCAACAATCACAATATTGCGAGTAGCAAGAATGCTCGACGGAATCAGGGTAACAGATCGAAATGAGAAAATTCCTGTCAGCAGCTTGCTCATGTGTTGGTGGAAGGGTGGCCCGCGGAACCAGAGATCCAGGTCTTTGGCCAGCAGAGAATTCACTAGGACTGTATTTCCGCTGGCAAGGGCATTGTAGAAGCAGCGCAATATGCGTTCGTTGTCCTGCATGTCAGCTGAAAGAGTGGCTGCAGTATTTTCGTCCTGGGTAACAAAATCTTCAGATCCCGCAGCAGCACTGGAATGGTCAGATATTTCCTCCGAGAAGTTGCTACCATCAGAAGAATTGCAAGAGTATTCGGGCCTCATTATAGCTTCTGATAATGTCCCTCCACAGTGATCCACATTCACTCCTACTTCCTCTCGGAGTTGAAGGGCTTGTCGGCGTGGAATTCCTGCACATCGCGCATAAGAAATAATTCAAAGTGGTGAACGACGTTCTTAGGATCCACAATGAAGCATCTTATCCCGAAGCTGGTTCGTCCTCCATCGCTCAAGTGGGTAATCTTCTTGACCCGGGCTTTATCTTCCTCTCCTTCTAGTTTACTGATGCCGCGATTGAACGTGCTGCTTGAGGTTGGAGACGCATCACAGGGAAATATTCATCCAGCACAGTGAATTTATTTGAGCATACTCACGAGACATCATCTATATCGAAACAAGGAATTCAACCTAAACGGGAGACCGGAAAGGCAAAAAGACTAAACTTTGAACAATTGTTCTGTGCATCTCACGAAGTAAAGCCCTCTTTTATAATTTCCTGCCAGCGGCTCTACATTAGACGGGACTTTGCACAATCCGTGGAAAGACCTTAGGGCTGAATCAAAGCATGACGGCAATTCTCCGATTCAGCATGTCTGTGGCATGCGTCTCGCTCCCTGCCTAACACCAGCGCGAGTGGCCATCGTTACAGCCGTGCTGATTTATTTATTTTTGGTTTCTGTTGAGGAAAATGGTCCTTCCAGCTTCGGAAACCTGCTCAGACATGCCCTGCATCCGACTCGTTGTTGTACACACACACACTCAACAACTTTGCTGTGATAGGACCAAGTGGTGCAGTAACATGTTTGGGGCAAGTCGACCGTGACTCCCTGCGTGAGGAAGCATGTGTCTGTGGTGGAATCTGCATCATGCGTCTCTTGAGTACAACATTGATACGAACCCTTCAGATTTGTGGAACAGGATTTGAGCCTCTCACATCGCACCCTACTTGCATTTGAGTTTTCTTTTCCTTCGGATGTACATGTCATTATATTCATGCTTATCATATTATATTGTATGTTATGTCTTTTTAGGTTGAAAATTCAATTCACTTGTTTTTTTTGTAATGTTCAACATATATAATATGGAATTTTTGTCTCAACTCATGAAGTATTGAAGTTGCTGAGGTAAAACATAAGATTATGTAGGAAAACAAAGAGTGTGTTAAAAGGTTAATAGAATTCATGTAATCGAATAGAATTTGTTTATTTTGTGTATGTTTGTCCATGAATTTGTATAAAACTTGCTCATGTATGATACAGAATTTCACCTTTGGCAAAATGTGCTTGGATGAAAGAATGATATAATAGCTTCTTACCATATCTTGTCATATGTATAACAGTATTTAAAGTCTTTATAAAAAACTAAATTAAGAACAACTTAAAAGTGCAACAACAATAAAGACTTTAAAAATCTTGGTTTAAAGAATTCAAGATCAAAAAAATAAGACTTGTATATTGCAAATAAAGATTTTTTTAAAATTTCTTTATTTGTTACAACTTGATAACAAGTTACAAAGACTCTTAGTTATATTATGTATAATCTTTTAGTTAATTATAATTTTAAATTATCCAAAATTTTAAATCTTGAGTTCTGAAAAATTTGTAATAAATTTACAATAAAGTTCATTTTATTAAAAAAATGATTACAGCTTTCAATACATTTTAAAATCACAAAATTCAATTTTTTTAAAAAAAGAACACCATAAAAATTTAGAGCATAGTAGAAAGCTTTTGACAAGTACTATTATAGTTTTTTAAAATAAATTTTGTAATAAAACAATGCACAAATTTTTAATTTTTTTTATAATATATATTTTATTTAATTAAAATAGTATATAGATAAGAATAATAATAATAAAGAACTTTATTGAATTATTATAATAAAGTTGTATTATGACCTACCTATATAATTAAACAGCTCGGGTATAAGACAATGGGACAAAGAAACCTTCTTATTGGTTGTAAAGAAGGAAATATGGAAACATACATGATGGGTTGAAATGCTATGCAGTTTAACAGATGTTTGCAATAAATGAGTGAAGGGGCAAATATAAATATCAAGATCCAAGAGAGACTTGGCAGTGCTAACATAACAACAATGGAATCAATATCACATGATGATGATCACATCACTCACTCACTTACTCACAGGTGTGTATAAATGAGGGTGGAAACATCAGTCTTGCTGCACCTCCCCACCTAAGTCTATTTGTCATGTGGCACTGACAACTTCCATTCAAGGTGCCTCACCCTCCTCCTCTCTCCCTCTCCTTCTTCTCACCTACCTTGGTAACCCCCCCTCACCACTACGTGTTGCAAAAACCTCTCTATTCAATCCACTCTGCCATTATGGGCTATCCGATCATAGATGCCGCTCAAATGCAATCACAATCGCTGATCAGATTTCTGGGAACGGAGGGAGGGAATGTAGAGGAACTAGGGGACGGGCAGGCAAGTTGGAAGGCAGGGAGGTTGGGAACTCAAAAGCCATTCCTTATTAGGCCCCCATTTAGTAATGTAAATTAGTTGATTAACTCACTGGTGTGTATTAATACAAAAAGTATACATGTGGTGCTTTAAAACACTAGTTTAGGGAGTTAATGTAGGAATTGTGATATAAATAGCATCTAATAGAATGTTAGTTGCAAGAATGGGTCTCTTGTAGAATTTCGGCGGTAGTGCCATTCTGTCCAGAATTTTGACCGGCGGCGGAGGCTCAGTCTGGAAATGATGCACTTGCGTGCTTGAGTGCGAACTTAATTACTCACCTTGTTGGGTTCTCCGTGCCAACTTTGTGTTATTGTGGTGATAGAAAAGAAGAGTACTTAAATTCTGAAGCGCAGCGGTTGGTGTTTGCAGTCTTGGACTTGGTATTAGCTCAGATATGCACGCAACAGGTGTGCGACGTCGCGGCTGAAAGTTCAGAATGGATGCTATATGAGTCCGTGGAGCATCTGTCTACTATGACCCGGTGATTTGGCTAGACCCTCCTTTTGATTGATCAAAAATGCTAAGATTAGTAGCATAGGCTACTATGTGAAGTTCCGGTTCACATCCATCATCGACTAGCGTTGCTGCAATGAAGCTCTTTCGATCAAGTGGCCGAAGTGCTGAAAACATTGAAACTACGTGCTTAGCAGGCGTGGTTGATTGACGGCATGTGAGCATTAGATAGGAGGCAGCCTTTTGTGTTAGATTAGTTGTATAGAGATTGGACTGTACGAGACACTTGTTTTCCTTTCGAACTCTGTTGTGCTAGCAAGTAGTAGGGCCGCATGGTTAAGGTTGAGATGTGCACCCTGGACAGAGATGCAGTACCTACTAGAGTTTGAATCGACTCGTGAAGAGACGGTGTTGTGGTTAGACTTAAGGGAGAATTATTATTTGGTGTGCAGAGTGGTGAGGGCTAGTAAAAAGGTGTGTTTTATTTTAACAATAAAAAATAAAAAATAAAAGTAAGAAGAACCCAGCTAATGTTGTTGGTCTGTTCTATTCGAACAAGTAGCTGTGGCAGTTCTCATCAGCAGCGGAGTTGGATCTAGAATCTCCAATTCATAGTCTAGTGGAAATCGGTTGGACGTCCAGGATGACGACGTAGCAGGTTGCGGCTCATCAGCGGCCTGGAGCAACAGTTGGCCTTTGAGTGGGCTGGAATCAGAAGCCGTATGCAGGATTCGCCATCCCTCGAACATACCAAGGTGATTTTGTTAAGAGTTAAAATAGGAATAAAATTACATTGGAGTAAATCCATTTGGTGGATTAGGTCAACTCGGATAAAGTTAGGTTTGGATTTTGGATGAGTCAATCTTTGGATAAATTTTGGTGGATGAAAGGTTATTCATGGATGAATTATCATATAAGATTAAACAAAATTAATAATAATAATAACATAAAATAAAAATAATATATAAAAAAAATAACTAAAAGAAAAAAAATAGGCATTAAATTTTTGAGTGATTTATTATCGTGAATGTGAGTTAATGGTAGAATTTTGGATTGATTGCTTGGATTATTTAAGAAGAGTAAAGAGGGATTTAATTAGGATTTAAGTAATAGCTATAATTTCTAAAATTCACATAGATAATTCACTTGTTGTGAATTAGAATAAACTTCCAACTAATGGAAGTTAATTTTTGCTCACATTATTTTAAATTTTAAATTTACAATAAAATAAATTTTGTAAATTATTATCAAAATAAAACTAAAAAATAACTTAAATATATCTCACAACTTCAATTACATTATCTTTTCTAATACAATTATATATGTGTGGAAGAAATTGCATATGTTTTTAAAAGATACAAAGATAATAACATAAAAGATACCATGAAGGTTTTTATGTTACTCTTAATTATTTTAATTATTGATTTATCTAAAATATAGTTTTTTTAATAATATTATTCTAATCAATATATATTACTAAACTAATGATGTTTCAATATGTTTTTTGTATTAGGCTTTCTATCTATTTTACTATTATAAATATATTTTATTATATTAATTTAAATATAGTATTTATATAAAAGAAAAAATCTAACCTAATTTTTCTATATATATATATATATTATTTTTTAATTTAATTTCGAATATAAAATGCATAAAAAACTACTATTATTAAAAACATACATCTTGTCATCTTATATATATATATATATTCCTTGAAAAAAATTCCATTAAATGCAATTTAGAAACTTCTTTAATTTATATTATTTGTATATACAAACAAAAAATCTTATTTTTTCTTCAATTGTATTATTTTATTTACTTCTTTTGAGATTATTTAATTTATATATATCGTTATTTAATTTTATTAGTTTTAATGTTGAGTAAAATTCTTATAATGCTTCAAAACAAGTTTGTAACTTAGATCTTTTTCCAATTTCTAATGTTTAATATAAATTTAATTTTACATTTTTTCAGCACCTCTGCTATTTCAACTATTTGTAATAATATTTTAATTAGAACTTATTTTAATTAGAGCTTTTACTTCTAAAAAAATCAAAAATAGTTATAATAAGATTAAACAACTAGTAAACTGGCTAATTATCTAACATGTCATCTTAATTTTATATAATTCTATATATTCTTAGAAGTAAAGTTTACTATGTGTATGGTATATCTAGCTTTAAAATACCTTTTTTATATACTCTTATATAAATTCTAATACTACCTAAATTTTTTATTAGTTGTAAAACTTCTTCTTAGAAAAAAAAGGATCATGTACATTGAGTGTTGTGTATGAAACAAAAAAAAAAAAAAAAAAAAAAAAAAAAATGTTTGAAGCATGAGTGATGATTGAAAAAGTGGGATTGAGAGGCAGCCCTTGAACAAAATTCAGCACACCATGTATGTCAATGTGGATCAGTGCGGGGGCACAATAAGAAATGGCTTCTGAATTCCAAACCTGCCCGCCCCCTGGTTCCCCTACGTTCCTTCCCTCCGTTCCTAGAAATCCGATCAGCGGTTGCGATTGTATCTGAGCAGCATCTGCGATCCGACGGCCCACAATGGCGGAGTCAGTCGATTGCATAGAGAGGTTTCTGCGACACAATTCTACGAGAATACCCCCCTCCCTAACCCACTCTAACCCTAACCCTGCTCTCCTCTGCTCTGCACTGCCCTCCTCCTCGTCCTCTTGCGCTCCTTGCCCTCCCTTCCTTCCTCATGCCATGCCTGCAATCTAACGAACGCATCACTGCCATCTCCACCACCACCACTACCACGTCACTTGCACTGGAACCTACCTGCCCCCCTTCCCTCCATCGCCTTCCGTTTCTCTCCCTGCCCCCCTCCCAGGTATGTATGTATGCTCTTCTCACCTTCTCTTCTCTTGCTCTTTCGATCTTTGTTTCTGCACAGTCCTCCCTCCTCCCTCCAGTGCGCTGAACCGGATCTCACAATTCCCTTCGAAACCTGCTCTCTCATTCCTCCTCATATTCCTCGTCTGTTAACTCCTTCACACTCCACTTGCCTGATTTCATGACGTTCTGGGGATCTCTTGGCAGCCCCGGGTTGGTGTGCCGCATGCTTCTCAATTTTGATTGTTCCCAATTCTTAGGTCCAACTTTGCACATGCATATTCCTAGGTCCAGTTGAAACTTAACTTACCGTAGGCTGATATGTTATGACATCAGCACTTCGTTTCTAGTTAGGAGGGTCTGCATGCAATTTTGTTTTATTTTTGACGAGTGTACTTTTTATTGGGAACGAGGGTCTATCGATCTGTACCGTATCACTTTCGTTGCTGTGGGTAGCTGTATGTTTGTCAACTACATACCTACCTAGCTTAAAAGCAGTCACAGATCATTTCAGGTTATCCCTGCAGTAGGATATCTGCTTCGACATCATTCTTATTCTTCCAGCAATTAGTAGAATATTCTGACGGGTCATTCATGTCATGTTCCCAGTCCAGTATGAATTACTTTCGGAGGACGGCCTTGGAGATTCTTCAGCTGAAGGCGACGTAGTCATCCAAACTTCAATCTAGTGTACATGTCAATTAAACTTAACAGTAACGTTGGTTGGCTTCTTTGAAACTGAAAAGGTGAGGAATATGGTTGGCTTCATGTAGTTCGGAGCAGTGGCTATCGCATCAGATTATGCAATGCTTGTGGTTTCAGATTTTGCATTTGGTTCTTCAAGTACAAAACATTTCTTTTCCATTGGCATGTGGGTGCTATCTCATTGTGTTTATTTGTACTGCAGAGTTCTGTGCGTTCAGATTGAGAGTGGTTTGTATTTCTATAATCAATTATTTGAGCCAACTCTTTCGTGAGCCGCCTTTAGTGACATAAGGCACTGTTGCCAGAAACTTGAAATACAAACATCTTCAGAGGAGTATTATTCAGTAATCGTCCACTTTGACGAGATTACATTCCGTTTTATTTTTCTGCTTTCCGATTGCCTCATGATTCGGCCAATGCAACTACCTACAGACTTTTGACGATGTTATTCCAGGTCTCCGACGTTTCAGAGCATCTACATACACCAATTCGGCATGTTCTAGGCCTGCAACCCTCTGGCAGTAAATATCTGTTGGGATTTTGAATTTTTGATGGTAGGGATGGCTCTGATGGTACGATTTGTGCAACCCTGTGGAACATGCACGGGACATATTTTTCCTGAGCAGAACGTGTTGTATGCCGCTTCACCTTTACACTGTGATAGTATTCCTTTGATAGTATTCCTTTGATGTGCTTTTCTGGAATCGAAAACATGTTGACGGGATGGAGCTAAAATTATAGTTAAATCTCCTTGTTTCGCTTCTCTAGCTAGTGTGAATGACCATTCCGCTAAACAATACCACCAGAAAAAGGAGCGTTCGTGTTACAATACATAGCTGTCCTTTCATGCATTGTAGCTAATCGATTGATTGATACCTTTGTTGTTCAATGAACTTGAGGAATAGGAGATGTTGTAGCCGGCGTATGTGAGGGTGTTCAATTTTTTTAGAGCTGAATTTGAAGTAAAATATACTTTGTGTGCCGTTTTATTGATTTTTAAGAATACGAGTATTTAAACAATATGGTATTATTTGATTTTATTTTGTGCAGGATTAGTGGTGTTACTTTACAAGAACCAACTAGTCTTAAATATATTCTCTTAAGTAGGTGAGCATAAATTTTTATATGTGATTGTTCAACAAATAATTAATAATGAATTTAATTATGCCTAAGTTTTTTATCAATGTTGAATTTAATATCAATATTTTTATCAACTATTAGGATTACTTAAGATTGATTGTTTAGCTTTAGTATCATAGATTCAATTTGGAAGATAGAAAATTGTATAACTTGAGTAATGTGGTTAAAAGAGTGTTTAGTAAATATTCTTGAAATATCAAACAAATCTATAATATAATTTTCTACAAGTGGCGAGAAGGTGAAATTGAATTTTTTTATATTAATTCATCATGGAATATTTGTTGAAATTATTCAAGTACTATATAATCATGGTTTGGAGGTTTTTACGTGGTTCTTTCGTATCAAGATCTTCAAGCACCATAGAAATATCAAGTATATAAGGTATTTTTGGAGATACTTGGAAAGGATCTGAATTCTACATTAGAGCATTCAAAGTTTTATTTAAAAAAAAAAAAATTGTTGAATAGAAACCAATGTACACATTTGTGTAAGAAAATTGAACATGTTATAAAGATTTTTGACCACCTACTCCAATGCACCAATGGAGTTTGGGCTTTTATTGAATGAGTTATTTTTCATCTTAAATAAATCTTATTTTTTAGTAGAAAGTTGTGGAAAACCAAATTGGTGTGAAGAAGCCATCTTCCAATTGAATAACAAAGAAACTTTTAGGGAATTACTTTTGGATTTAAAATGTTGTTGTGATGTAGCAAGTGATTTGTTTTTAAATTATTGTCCCAATAAATTTGAAGACATCACATTTGCTACATTTGATGTTGTAACATGTGATGAAATAAAAGGTGATGTTAAATTTCTACATGAGAGGTTGATCCAAGCAAGTGAAGAAGAAGATTTTGAATATTGTGGTCTAGCAATGCATTTATTAGAAGACCTACTTTGTATAGAAGATGAAGAATGGGATGATTCAAAACTATCATCAAATATGAAGAGTGTTGAAACCATAAAATGCATAAGTAATGGAAATTATGGGGTAGTTTATAAATCAAAGTGGTTTGGAGTTTTGTGTGCAATCAAAAAGATATTTGGATATTGCACTTAATAAGTTTTCTGAAAGAGAAGTGACTATTTTAGCCAATTTATGCCATCCTAATTTGATTACATATTATTTTGCAATGAAAGGTAATGCCAATGAAAGTGGTGAATCTTTTGAGACAAAAGTTGAAAAAGACTATTTGTATATAGGAATGGAATTGATGCAAACAAATTTAAATGACATATTGAAAAAAGAAGAACAATTATCTTACATTTTTCTTATTGATATTATATATCAAATTGCAAAAGGGATGTGTTACTTACATGACATGCATATTGCACATCATGATCTAAAACCTCAAAATATTTTAGTTAATGTTATGAAGACAAAAATTATGAATAAGATTGTTTTACATGCTATTGTAAAAGTGATAGATTTTGGAATATCTAAGAGTGAAGTTGGAAGCAATCCAAATACCACAAAGAATAAATTTCTTTATGGTACTATTGCATACATGGCTCCTGAGGTTTTAAAATCCAAATTTGAAACAATAATTATATGCCCTTTTGAAGCTGATGTTTATTCATTTGCAATAGTATGCTCCAAGATTCTTACAAAGAAAGATCCAATTTGATGGTGTTCGTGGGATGAAAGAAATATTAGAAAGAATTGAAAAAGGTGAAAGACCAAACTTACCATCAAATTGTGAAGTTTTGATTGAGCTTATCCAAGAGTGTTGGAGGTTGAATCCTTTGGATCGACCAAAGTTTGCAAATATTTGTAAAAGATTAAAGTTACTAAAGAAAAAGTTTTTAGTTAGAATTGAAGTAGCAAATGCACCATATTTTGAGGAATCAAATAAGAATTGTCATAAAAATCCAAGATTTCAGCAAATACATAATAGAATGCCATTGGTAAGACTTGTGCTAGAAACTATAATAAGTATCCATATATATATATATATATATACATATAATTATATGTATTGATTGTATTGGTAATTTCTTTGATACTCTTCTATGATTTAATGATGTTTAGATGTCTTCGTATGAGCTCAACTTAGTATGACTAGGTTGAAATGTAGTATATGCATCATTCTAATTTTTTTGTTAATTTGTGGTTATATTTTCTACTTATAGGTTGATTTACCTGAAGAAGAAATATTTGGTAGAATACAATATTTATTACAAATAAGAAAACTATGTGCAAATAAAGTGAAGGTTTTATATCTTGTTGGAATGGGTGGAATAGGCAAGACCACAATTGCAAAGGTTATATTGAATGATGTAAAAGCCACATATGATGCTTCATGCTTTATTGAGTGCATTGAAAGTGGTGGTGATTATTTTTCAACTTCATGCAGTATCTTAGAACAATTTCAAGTCAAAGAAAAACCAATGGATGTAAAAGAAGCTCATAAAATGCTAAAAGCATTCTTATTAGAAAACAAAACCATCTTGGTCTTTGACAATGTAAAGGATCAAAGACAAATTGAAGATGTTGTGCCTATGGATGACATATTAGCTAGCAATAGTAGTACATTAATTGCAACAACTCGAGATTTAAAAGCAATAAAGCATTGTAATAAAGAAGTTTGTGAAATAAATATTGAAGAACTTGATGAAGAAACAAGTATGAAGTTGTTTATTGCTCATTCATGTAGCCAAGAAAGTCTACTTAATGAACTTATTGAAGTTGGCAAAAAAATTGTAAGAGCTTGTAATGGCCTACCATCGAGTCTAAAAGTCATGGGAGCATTTTTAAGAGAGAAGAAGAGATTGAGATGTTGGGAGCGAGCTTTACAAAAGTTGAAAAGTGGAAGAGAATTAGATGGAGATGAAAACAATAGTAACTACAAGATTTGGAAGATATTAAGAGTAAGCTTTGACAATTTGAAAGATGATGAGAAGAAAATGTTTTTAGATATATGTTATTTTTTTTGTAATGATGTCTATCCACAAGGCATGTCAAAAAAAGAGCATTGCGAATATGGGCTAATAGTCATAAAAACATATTGGAACATGATGTGGAATGTATATTAAATACATTGATTTACCAATCATTGATAAAAATAAACAAAGATGGAATTATCAGAGTGCATGATCAACTACAAGACATGGGTAGGAACATTGTTGAAAAAGAAATAAAATATAAATATAGAAGAATATGGAACTTGAATGAAGATCCATTTTGTGGAATATCAAACAAGGTAATTTTACTAGACTATTATCTAGATGGCATTTAAAGAATTAATAATAATAAGAAAGAATCATTTTTTTAAAAGTTGGAATTTTTAGTTTTTACATTAAGTAATTTTTATTGTATTTCTTAGATATATACTAATGTAAATTTATTATGTTAAAATATAAATCTTCTATTGTAATTATATATATATATATATATATATATATATATATATTATGTGTACTACTAATGTAGAATTTCTAATCTTTTTGTGTATTGAATTTTGGTGGAATATAGTTGGAGGGATTATTTTATAAAAATATAAACAACAAAAGTATTATTAAAGTAAGAAGTGCTTCTTTTTCATCACTTCAATTTTTAAGTTGTAATATTGGAGTTTTTGCTCCCAAAGTTGTAGTAAGCATATTAAAAATATTTTTTGTGTTAATAAAGCATTTTCTTAGATTAAGATGTTTTCTTCTAGATATGTCATTGGAATATGAATTAAAAAATGAAGAAGGAGACATAGCATTGCAAATGCTACATGATAAAGATGTTTGGAAAAAGTTTGAGAGTTTAAATATCTTACAATTGAAAAATTGTTCTTTTATAGAAACATTCCCAAACTCATTTTTTGAAATTACTACATTATTGAAACTTGACTTGGAAAGCTGCTCAAACTTAACCATGCTACCAAATGAATTGAAAAATATGACTTCTTTGAAGATACTTAATTTACAATATTGTAGTAGATTAAGATTATTACCAACATCAATAGGAAGTCTTCTAGCTTTAAAAGTCTTTAATATTGAGGATTGCAATAGCTTGATATCATTGCCAAATGAATTGGGCAACCTCACATCTTTGACTTTCTTATATATAGGAGGGTGCTTTAGGTTGACATTATTGCCAAATGAATTGGGCAATCTCACATCTTTAACTACCTTAATTATGAGAAGGTGCTCAAGCTTGATATCATTGCCATATGAATTGGGCAACCTCACATCTTTAATTACCTTAGATATGCATGGATGCACAAGCTTGATATTATTGCCAAATAAATTGGGCAATCTTACATCTTTGACTACCTTAATTATAGGGAGGTGCTCAAGTTTGACAACATTGCCAAATGAATTGGGCAACCTCACATCTTTGACTACTTTAATTTTGGGGATGTGCTCAAGTTTAACATCATTACCAAATAAATTAGGCAACCTCACATCTTTGACTACCTTTAATATACGTAAGTGCTATGACTTGACATTATTGCCAAATGAATTAGGCAACCTCACATCTTTGACTACCTTATATATGGGAGGGTGCTCTAGGTTGATATTATTACCAAATGAATTGGGCAACCTCATATCTTTGACTACCTTTGAAATGTGGGGGTGCTCAAGCTTGACATAATTGCCAAATGAATTGGGCAACCTCACATCTTTGACTACCTTTAATATACGTAAGTGCTCAAGATTGACATCATTATCAAATGAATTGGGCAACCTTACATCTTTGACCATCTTTGAAATAGTAAGGTGCTCAAGCTTAACATCATTGCCAAATGAATTGGACAACCTCACATCTTTGACTATCTTACATATAAGGGGGTGCTTTAGGTTGACATCATTGCGAAATGAATTAGACAATCTCACATCTTTGACTACCTTAAATATAAGCGAGTGTTCAAACTTGACATCTTTGTCAAATAAATTAGGTAACCTCACATCTTTGACTATCTTAGATATACATGGGTGCTCAAGTTTGACATCATTACCAAATGAATTGGGCAACCTCACATCTTTGACTATCTTATATATAAGGGGTTGCTTTAGATTGACATCATTGCCAAATAAATTAGGCAATCTCACATTTTGACTATCTTTAATATAAGTGAGTACTCAAGTTTGACATCATTGCCAAATAACTTAGGCAACCTTACATCTTTGACTACCTTTATTTTGTACAAGTGCTCTAGCTTGACATCATTGCCAAATGAATTAGGCAACCTCACATCTTTGATTACCTTAGATATACATGGGTGCTCAAGTTTGATGTCATTGCCAAATGCATTCGGCAATCTCACATCTTTGACTACCTTATATATAGGAGGGTGTTTTAGCTTGACATCATTGCCAAATGAATTGAGCAACCTCACATCTTTGACAATCTTTGATACATGGTGGTAAGGAAGCTTGACATTATTGCTCAATGAATTGGGTAACCTCACATCTTTGACTATCTTACATATAGGGGGTTGCTTTAGGTTGATATCATTGCTAAATGAATTGAGCAACCTCACATCTTTGACAATCTTTGATACGTGGTGGTAAGGAAGCTTGACATTATTGCTTAATGAGTTGGGTAACCTCACATCTTTGACTACCATTTATATAAAGAATTTTTCAAGGTTGACATTATTGCCAAAGAAATTGAGCAACCTCACATTTTTGACTACCTTAAATATGCAGTGGTGTTCAAGCTTGACATCATTGCCAAATTATTTAGGTAACTTCACATTTTTGACTACTTGAAATTTAAAGAATTGTTCAAGCTTGATATCATTATCAAAAATAATGGTGAATGCATTCTTAAAATGATTTCCTTTAAAATAGATTTTTTTATTAATAGATAGTATTTTAAAGATATGACAAAGAACAATATTTGAAATAGAATTTAGAATTTAGAATATAGTACTTAAATCTTTTAAATCATAATGGTTTAGATAAAATCATTTATATGTTCTTTGAATTTTGCAATAGTATGTAAAAGAAGGCCATCTAAAGTAATAAAATTATAAGTTACAAAAACTAATCTTGTACATATAATTTCTAATATTTTAGAGAATCTACACTTCAATTTTTTTAATTAAAATTAATTTGGATTAGTTTTTTTCTAATATATTTATGAAATTCATTGAAATTTCTTTAATTAAATCTTAATAAATTATATGTAATAAATATTTGAGATTGTTTTCTAACATTTAAAACATAAATATAATTCAACATAAGACATATTTTTTATTATTTTATTTAAAATAAATAAGTAAATTATTTTTAATATTATTAAGATTTTGTTACATTTAAATAAAGTAATATGCAATGCATGTGTATATTAAGCTAATCTTGAATATATAATTTCTAATCTAAACTTTTAATCTTTTTTTAAAAAAATTAATAATATAAAATTTTATTTTATTTAAATATTTGAAACTATTGTTCATTACATGTTTGTTTCTTTAAAATTTAAACATATTTTTAGGTAAAATATTATCTTCATATAAAAGTCACATTACATAAAATTTAAGAATTACTAGGTTTTAAAATTTAAGAGTTATAGTCAATCAACTATTAATATCTAATAATATTAGGTTGCAATTGTTGTTTTATTTGATTTTAATAAAAGTTGTCATATAGAACTAAATACAAAATTATGACTAAATCTATGTAATTTTAATATGTTAGAAAAAAATGATATTTCTATTACTTATGTATTTTTTAAAATAGAAACTATTATCTTATATCTTGATTATTCAATAATAATACAATAATTTTGCACAAAAATATAAATACAATTATACAACATGTACATTAATATAATTTTATTTTTAAAAATAACAATAAAATATTTACTGTCATAATAAATAAGAAATTTAAATATTTTCAAAATTATTCTGAAAATTATTATCTAATAAATTCTAAAATCTTAAAAATCTACAAAACCAAAAATCAAAAGCTATTAATTAAAAAAAACAAGCTCATAGAAAGAAATGAGTTATTTATTTTATTATATGTAGTTTGTAGAAGCATAGTATCAAAAATATATATATATAAAGAAGAATAATCTAGAATAGAAACCATTGTAATACTTATTTTTAATTTATGATATTGCTTTCATTTGTACTTCTACTTTTATGGTACTATGCATAAAAGAAATAAAATAGTAAATTGTCTTGTAATATAAAAATATTAATTAACTAATTCATAAAGTTGTGTAATTTCTAAGTTTTTTTAAAGTAATGTAAAATAAAATAACTACCAAAAATAGAAATAATTTAATATAATTAATAATATATAAATATAAAAATAAATTTTAATTCTTTCAAAAATAAAGAAAATATATATAATTGGCTATTAAATTTAAATAAAAAATAGAAATGTGTAAATTATTATTACCTTTTATAAAAAAAAATATAATGTAGTATTTTTTTTTCTTTTTTTTTTTGCATAAATATTGAATTTTTCTTGTGACAATATTTATCTTTAAATTATCTAAATAATTTATTAATTAAAATTTTAAAAAATTATAATTACTTTGTTAGAAGTTGTCATCAAATTGGTTTAATATTCAAAACTATCTATCTATCTATCTATAAGTATTTATATTTATAATATTATTTTTTAAATTATTTGGATTTTTTTATTTTTTTATTTTTTATTATTTTGAAGGTTTTTTGTTGAACAAATCCTCAACTTCAAATTAACTATAATCATATCATATTGTTTTCACAATAATCTCATAAAGATTCTATTAAATTATTTAATGTGCTTAAAATAATTCATCTTTTGTATTAAATTTTATTAAAATAATATAATATAGCCAATAAACTATAGCCCAATGCTCTCATTTTAATAAAAATAATTTTCTTACTTGTTATTTTAGAAGTTGATTACCAATAAGTTTTTTATTTTTTATTTTTATTTTTTTATTGCCAAGATAAACCTTGTGGTTCAAATGGTGCTTGTGATCTTATTTATATGTTCTTTAAAGCTTACAATTATATGTAAAAGAAGACCATCTAAAATATCAAAAATATGAGTTGCAAAAACAAAACTTATACATAAAAATTCTTAATATTTTAGACAATCTATACTTAAAAATTTTAATTAACATTAACTTAGGTTAGTTTTATTAAATATACTTATATAATTTCTTAACGTTTTATAAATTAAATCTTAGTAATTTATATGTAAAACATATTTGAGACTTTTTTTTAATATTT